GGGGTAGGTACATTGCTGCCAGGCAGGTGGGGCTGTGTGCTCACCTGAGTCCACTCATACCTGCCCTGCTCCCTTCCTTTCTCAAGACACTCCTTTCTCATGGTCTCTGTACTTAACTCACAGCCCACCCCGACCCAGATGTTCTGTGTCGTCTTTACCTCTATATTCTCTAGGGCATAGTCTATTCAAAAGAAGTTTTAAACTGCAGTGCTCAGAATATGCACAGAGCTACCAAGGAAACGCCTGGAAATGGCAGTGGTGGCAGCCCCACGTCAGGCGCCCACACCCCACTCCTGTCCCGTCCCCCCCATCCCCATGATCTCACCTCCCTATTTGCTATGTCTCTTTTCCCATGGTCCATTTTTGTATTTATTTTGGTTTAACCTTTAAATTTTTCCAGTGTGTCACAAGGGATCTCCCAAGGGGCATGTCTTGCCCCTGGGACATCTGTGTTGTGATTTAAAAACCTTTTGTTTATATGCAGGTGACGTGTCCAAGTCCAGGGCCGTAGAGCAGCTCTGTGCGAAGATCGGCTGTTACTCAGGCACAAGAGGCCTCTGGAGAGCAAACAGATACCCAGGATCTGCTCTCAGTCCCACTTACCTGCCAAAGTTCTGGCCCAAGAACATGACCCTCGTCAAGGGTACATGGTATTGTTTCTGGAACATAGTGAGGTCTGTGCTTTACTGACTTTCTCAATGCCCCATCAGCAACAAGACTAAAAGCAAAAATGAACCCAGAGGAAAAGCTGAGATGTGTGACCATGAGGTGACAGGAAAAGCTGGACGTCCTCTGCAGAGTAGCATGTTCCTAAAAGCCATGGATGAAACCTTCCTCGCCTGTTCAGTGACTTACATAATATAGCTAATAAATTTCAAATACCAATGGCCTTGGAAGTAAACAGGATGACCATGTCTAAAAATATTAATGATTTTCTTAGAAGTCAAATGTTTGCTGTACCAAGTAGTTTTTTCATCTCAATAAAAATAAGATAACACTGAGGCCTATAGTCCTACCACCGTATCCAGTAATGCTTTAAAAATGGGGTTTGATGTCAAATAAATGTCTTCAATTTAGAGATGGAGGCACCGGGCCACAGACTGATGGTAGGGAAGAACTAGACATGTGATGCGACTCCTTTGTCATGACAATTCCTGTCTCTGGGTCCTCCTCTGGACCAGGATGGATAACTGGAAAACACATTGTTTGCTTCAAGTAGGCTTCTTCTAGGTACATGCAGCATTCTGCTGAAGCCAGGAATCCTGGTAGATGGGACTCATGGATGCTAAAATTAGGATCTTCCAATATGTAGCTCTTGATGGTTCAGAAGCCCAAGAAGATGGAAGCAGCAGAAGTGAGGCCTCAGCTCTGGGCTGAGTCTCCCCCAGAGATTCCGAGTCCTTCTCCCACAGAATGTTCAAGTGGTGTCATTGGGCCCATTTCTCCCACAATCTCAGCCAGAGATAACATCTGAGCTCCAAAATCCCATTATCATGAAAACAAAACGCTGCAGTCTACTTGAGATCGTTTTTGCTCTAATTAAAACTTTTATTGAATTTTCTCAAATGTTACCAAGAAATAGTTTTGGCAAAAGGGGGTAGGGGGAGGGAGGGAATTGCTAACAAGCAAATTCAGCCTGGGAGCTCCCTCTGCTGGTCTGCAGTAGGTTGATATGTTACAAACACATTCCCAGAGACAAATCTAATTTGCTGGAGAAGTGGACAAAAGACAGGTGTGTTGGGCTTTGCCTCAGGACAGAAACACTAGAAGAAAAAAAAAATCCATGTCTCAAAACAAGCACAACATTGCTGAGAAAAGCAAAGTAATTTAAAAGCTTCTCCAAAGACATAATAAGATTTCCAAAACAAAATGGAATTATCAACTAAGGGGATGCTGGTCTCCCCACTGCTCTACCTCCAGGTAATAACAACTCTCTTAGGCCCTTTGGTGATGGTTAAGTTCTGATTCCCTTGTCTTTGCCTCCAAGTCTCTTCTTACAGGCTTCTTATCTACTTAGAGAAGAAAGATCCAAGCAGTCACTGGAGTGAGGCCTTTTCAAAATTCCATCAAAGAATAAGTCTGGTGAGCCAGCACTGTGGTGTGGAAAGAGCCAGGTCGGGAGTCAGGTTACGCGACCCTAGTCATGGCAGAGCCACTGCGACTTTGGATAACTCTCTCCATCTTCTCCGGTCTGTTTCCTCATCTGTAAAAATGGTCAGACCAGTTGATCTGTATGTATGTAAAGCCTCTGCCATTGTGTTCTATGAGGCTTGTACTAGACAAAGAAATTTAAATAACCATATCTGTTCATGAGTCCTTAGGATACAGAATCCCAGCTTGTACTGGGAATGACTCGAAACAAGAAGTGGAGTTGAGCACAGGACCTCTCTGGTACCAGATGAGAGTTCCACCGACTCTGGGACCGATGTGGCAGAGCCAAGGGGATTCCAGGCTGGTAAAGTCTCCAGATCAAGGAAGAACTCACAGGGAAGGTGCGACCCTGGGCACTATATCCCATTAGGTCAAAGGGTGGAGTCCATCTAATCTTGGCACTGTCTCTCCCCATCCTTTCTTACAATGGTATGGGCTTTCTAATCTCTTAAGATTCTTTAGCTCCTTTTCTCACCATATCCCCAGATACTACTTTTGATTTCACCCGTTATATGAATGAAGTAAGGGCAAATTACCCAGATGTCACGTCTAAAAGCCACTATTCCCATTCCTTTCTGGCCATTGTCAATTCTCGCTTTTCCAGGGCAATGGTGAAAGGCTTTGTTGCTGATTAACCAAAGCCATGGATATTCAGACGATCATGCAAATTGGGCATCATTTCATGATATTTATTAACACTTGCCTCAATTGTCAACTGATCCATACTCTAGGCAATCTAGCAAGAGGAAAAGGGAGAGGAGAGACATCCACAGACGGTAGGGGTGGGGTGCATGGGGCACAAATAGCCCAGGGGGCTCTTTGAGTGGTTCCGGGTCATCTACAAAGTGATCCCCGAGCCCACTCTGAGCAGGCTGATGACTCAGCAGAAGACATCCACAGGCTTACCTTCTACCCCTCCTTTCTCTACCTGCCATTTCCAGGCGACTAAACACTGACATGGACAAAAGGTGGAAAAAGCAGAGAGGGGGAGAAGCAGAAAGCACAGCTAATGTAGAAATGGGGAATTAGTCTTGGAACAATCCCATTACTTTATTCTCTGGACCAAGTCCCACCTGCATTTTCCTTCACTACTTGTACTAGTTTCTGCTCCTCCCAGCACAGAGGGTACCCCTGCTGGGGCCCAGGCACCAGGCTATCTCTGCCGCTCGCCTGCACGGGGCCCGGGTAGCCGGGTCGTCAGGGCACGTAGGAAGCACTGAGAGCTTAGCTGAGAGGATGGAAAGACGCTCAACCAACAGCACACGCCTGGCCCCACGGCCTGTGAGACCCCTCACTGGGGCTGCTTGTAGGGTCTTATACAATAGGATGAGTTCTGTGCAACATAAAAGTTTTAGGTCAGAAGGAAGAGTATTCTGGGAAGCTGTATATTTCATCCAGCCTTGTAAATAAACACTAAGCAAAACAGACAAAAACCCACCTGTCCAAGTCAACATGTTTTTAAACCAGGTTTTCCTGCTTTTAGAGGAGTTATACATGCAGTAAGACAAATGAAATCTTTACTTTCTATTGTTTTGCTATTGAGCATCACCCGGAATCGTAATATTGATTACTACTACTTAACGCAAAAAGCAAAACTTTTCTCTCCAAGGGAAGAGAAAGGGTTAGTAGGTAGACAGTAATCTTTGTGAAGAAACAAGAAAGTTTGTTTATAAAACTCAGGCTGTTCTTAACTTAAAAAAAAAAAATGCTGGTCAGAACAAAGGCCTCTACCTTGACCTGTAATTACACTGTGGACACTACACTGTACCTCTTTTTCTTCAGGGTTTCCAGAAAATGGAAAAAAGGAACCCTTCATTTCTTCTGTAAGATGCAAGACAGTCCTCTTCCTCCTGGGAGCTCCTAACTTCCCCCTCTGGTCACTAGCTCTCAGAGAACACGAGAGAAAACCCCCACTACGTAGACACACAGGCAGACACACAACTCCTGCGACAGTGCACACCTCCCCTACACCCCTTCCACACAACAAGGCACACACACGCCTATGCTCTGGGGACACCTCTAGTTGGCTGGGAGCTAGGGAGGTCACCGGGGCCCGGCCTCTCGTGTGTGATATGAGAGTGAGATCATTAAGGAAGAGAGAGGTGTCGTTTGGGGCAAACATCAGGCAGTGGGTGATATCATTGCTGTCAAATGGTCCTCATAAGTCCCGGAGTAGTGTCAGCTCGATTTAGAGGGGATCAGTAGTCTCTCGAAGGCAGATCTGTTAGCTGGGTAGGTGTTAGTTGTATGGTGTGCTCTGGAAACCAGGTCTGAAAGGAGTGGGTGAAGTCGTGGCCAATGGGTATAAATTACCTGGGCATGCAGTGAGGCGGGGTAGGTGAAAGCAGGAGGAGGTAGAGCAGGCGCTAACTCCGCTGGGTACAGAGGGTACGGGGCCCACACTTCAGGGCTACTGGGGTAAAGTGCAGGCACTGTGAGCTCATCTGCAAGAAAGAATAAGGGGAGAGTTAGTGGTTACCAAACAGCTGGTTTCAAATCAGAACAAAACACCCAATAACCCAGAGCCCAATCCATGTCAGAAGTCAAATTACTCTCATTCTTTTAGTAACCTGTTGGCTTTGGTCCCCAAACTCTAAGCCAGGGAATGGGAAACACACAATGAGAGAAAGCAACACACATCGGCTGCCTGCAGCCTGCTGAGAGCCCGGGCAGGCTCTGCCTTGGACACTCTGATGTCTTTCCAACTGGAGCCAGGGAACTCGAGAACAGCAGGGATTTCCTGCATAAAACAGCATATATGGTCCTCTGAGGGGAAGAGGAAGAAAAAGAACCAGTAGGAGATAGCTCCTGAAAACCCTCTGCAGACCCTGTGGGAGAAAATGGCTTCCTGGCAGGACCCCAACAGAAGGAAAACCAGAGGACTTTTCTGTTTATCAGTATAATTAATAGACAAATAAATTATGATCATCAGCATTTTACACTTGTCACTTAGAAGCACGGGACCAGCCACTGTGGCTACACAGGGTATAAGCTGTTAAAAATTCAGAGAATGGAAGTGCAAAAAACCTTGAGTATCCTGGTTAAAGTTAAGCTCCACAAAGATGCAAATAAGAACTTTCACAGTTGCCGTTTACACCGACTATATTTATTTTCTAGGGAAAAAAGTGAGACAAGCTGCCAACTGGTCTAAAAGGTCCTCGCGTAGCTCTGATTCCACTCAGGTCAAGCTGCAATTTCCCAGATTGAAGGGCAAGTGTCTGTCTGGGAGTCAGATGCATCAGGAAGTAACCCATTAGAGTAACAGCAAACACATGAGGGAGCATCTCAGCAAAGGCAGAAGAAACACCAGTCAATAGTTACGAGTCTGGACCCTGTGAAGCAGCAACCTCGATGTCCACTTTTACCACCTGTCAAACTCTGAACTCAAGTAGGTCAAGAATGCTGCCCAGGACTGCTGAGGGAGTCAGGAAAAGGTGGCTGATAAAGCCATTAGTGACTGCCATTCAGGACTTTCCAGGTCTACAGTGCATGTGATCCAAGGAAAAGAGCCACTTCCCTCCTTCCCACCACCTAAGAGGCCTCCCAAGCCCATTCATCTCAGGTCTCCCTCATACTCGCCATCCCCCAAACTCTGGCTCTGGGCAGGTTTTCAGTATGGGGAGGGGGGCTAGAAACACAAAACTGCACTGCTAAGTGTGAAGCAGTAACTGCTCTAAGGAGAGACCAGAAAGCAGCTGAGCCTGTGGGTGCATGTGCATCTGATGGGCAAGGCTTTCCACAGCCAGCTGGCATGGCAAGGGCTCCTGCCAGGATGATGCAGTCCAGAATGACTGATTTCTGTCCATTCAGAGGGCAGCTCGGGGATCCCAACACTGTGCGTGATATAACGGGGCTAGCCAGCAAGCTTCTGCAACACCTTTTCCCTGATGCCCTCTCTCAACAGGCAGTGAAAGTGGCCTCCTCGGGACTTGGTGGTGGAAGCTGGAGAGCCTAGGCCAAGAGTGAACTGATCGTTGTTTCTGGGGGAGGCAAACAGGAGCATCACAAGCCTCTTTAAAACGATCAGGTCTATACCACCCCTTCTATGGTGTAGGTGTCTGCAGTTGCTGTAAGGAAATTCCTCACTGGGGTTGAGAGGATACTATCAGACCACAGCTTCCTGTCATGAGACCATATGATTCCCATCAGAGCCACTCCTGTGGGAGCCCCGCTCGTGTAAACCAAGTGCTGCCAGAGGCAGTGCCCCAAATTTAAACGTCCATTCTCAGGAACGATGTGTATTGTTGTTGTTACTTTAGCTACAGTGCTATTTTAAGGCATACTGAGTCTTTCTGAAAAGTCAAGAGGGTCTCAAGACCCGGCACACTGTTTCTCAGCCATGCTCACCAGCCCCGCTATGACCACAGGAGTGGCGACCACCAGAGGGGCTGAGCTCGCTTGCAGTCCTCGACCAGCTCCTCACAGGGACCAGCCGAGTGGGAGCTTCTGCCTGATCAGTGGGCGCTTCCTTTAGAGAGTTTTAAAACTGAAATGTCTTTAAGACATCTAATCCTAAAGAGAAATAATGGAGATGAGGGCAGTTGGCATTTCAACCTCAGCCTGACTGATGTAATTTATGATTTCTAGACATTTCCATTTTCCATACAGAATTATCTACTTAAAAATTAGCTTTAAAAAAAGCTCCCAGATTTATTGAATTTTGAGTCCCACCTGTGGCTGCGCCTTGTCAGGGCCAGACCAAATGATTTTGGGGGCCATATATACTTCCCCCAGGCCAGATGTTCCCCACCCCATCTTAAAGTATTACTTCCTACTGGGTCTACACTGATGCTCAGAGACAATTCAATGAATAAAATTTGCACAAAACCTACCCAGCAGAATGGGGATATGTCTCCAAATCCCCCAAACCCAAAGCCGTTAAGTAATGTGATAGGTAGTGAAGCAGAGGCCTAAGAGATCAGGGTGAGCTGCACATGATAAATCCCTTGATACATGTCATGTCTTCCTTTTCCCCTTGTGAAGGAATCTCAAGGAGTTACTGTAAATGTCAGGAAACATGCAGCATGCTGTGGGTTGGTCAGGAAGAGGCTGAGCTCAAAGTGAGTCAATGGAGATGTCTGTGCTAGTGACCACCGGGAGAGGACAGAAGTGAGGCTAATTTCTAACAAGTTTTCAAGGATGTGGGTCTTACTTGGGTCTGCACCCTGGGACCAGCTCCGAGACCGGCATGTAGTGTGTAATAATGTTTGTTGTACTGAACAGTGCCCAATGGAAAATCCTAAAAGTTGTTTAAAAATATACCACTGCTTTCTTTGTTAAAGGAACTAATATGCATAGGAACTAAGTCTAAAATTTCTCAATCCTTGCAGTTTCTCTCTCTCTCTCTCTCTCTCTCTCTCTCACACACACACACACACACACACACACACACACACACACACACCACACAGAGCAAAAGGCTCAAGCCAGAGCAAATGTTACAGAGCAATAATTTTCAAAGTTAAAAATAAAAGCAGTGGAACCCTTTCCTCAAACTAATTATTACCAGAAACGCATTTTAATAAAAGTATAGCTATTCTGGTTAACGTGGTAGTGGTGGAAGGAGGTTGAAGAACCTCAACCCTTTGATAGTCCCCAAAGTACCAAGTTCCCGAGAACACAGTTTGAAAGCTGCTCTTACAGCTGCTCTCACCCAAGGACCAGTTTTTAAAGTACGCTCCTCTTCAAAAACCTCTGAAGTCTGAACTCACTCCTCTATCTGGGAGGGAGGGTGGCCATGAGCAGCCAGCACAGGGGAAAGACAAAGAACAATGAAGCAACTGGGATGGAACAAACAGGGTCTACTGCCTGATGTGGACCTCAGTGCCCAAAGTACCTTGGCACCCATGGAAACGTCGAGTGAGCTTTTATGGCCTCACAAAGTACAGAAAAATCTAATCCAGGGAATAAATATAACAGGTAAAATAACAGAAAAAGGTAAATAAAGCAGTTGGAACTATTTCCTTCCTCCTCCTCAGCCTCAAACCCTAAACCATACCTTCCTGTCTGCACTTCAGCACCGCAGTACACTTCTCACAGTGTCGGGGGACTAGCAGCAGCAGCAGCCTGGGAGCTTGGCAGAAATGAAGCCCCTGGCTCCACCCCAGACCTACTGAATCAGAAATTCTGCCCTCCATGTGATTCTGAATAGTACTTTAGTTTGAGAACCATTGCTTAACTTATTTATCTTACTTTTCTTACTGTATTATTAGCTGCTTGAGCAAACTGTTATGCACTTTGCTTTCAAAGAGCTTAGTATAGTACCTGTTACATAGTAGTTTGTTGAATGAATGAATAAAAGACCACAGGTCCTCGAGAAACAAGATGGTGGCGTAGGTAACAGCTGCACCTGCCGCCTCCCGCAACCACATTAAAATCACAACTAAAATACAGAACCACCATCACTCAGAGCTTCCTGAAATCTGGCTGAACAGAAGCCCTGCAACCAGGGAACTGAAAGAGCATCGAGAGCCGTAGGAGGGGCAGAGACGCGGGCGGATCAGGGCTGAATCGCAGAGACACCAGGCCCTGGGCCTAAACCCGGTGCTGCAGCTGAAACCAGGGAGGGAATCTCGGCAGTGGGGGTTTCCCGGAGGAGTGAGGGGTCCCAGCCCCACTGCAGGCCCCCAGCCCAGGGCTCCAGGGCTAAGAAGAGACGTCCCCACAACTCTGGGCTGTGAAACCAGTGGGGACTGTCCTTGAGGGAGCCCCAGCAGCTACTCTTAAAGGGCCCGCCCACGGACTCACTCCGAGGCACTCCCTCTGAGCCCCAGCACCAGGCAGCAGCCTAAAAGGAACCTGGGGCACTTGGGGAGGAACTAACCTGCCTGAAATTGGTGCAAGAGGTGGAGGGGCAGCTTCCTCCCAGGCAGAAGAGCTGGCAGAGGCTGTTGCTCCTTTGGCGAGTCCTCCCCACACACACAGCCGGCACCCGACTCACACCTTTGGCCCCACCCCTCCCCACCTGCAGGCTCATCCAGGCCATTTCCAGGGGCTTTTCTGTGCAAGTGGCCTCTCGAGCCTCACGCTTAGGACTTTCCTAAAATCTCTCAAACAAGCAGCAGCGTGCCCCATATGGCTTGATAAGTGACCCCAGGCCTGGCACTAGTGGGAGCCTGCATTGGCTCATAGCTTTGCCTCTCCTGGACACCTCCAAGCCCAGGACAAGTAGCAGCCATCTACGGTTTGCTGTGTAGCTCATGCTGGGTGGCCCTGGGCAAGGCACTGGCACAGGCTGACTTGCACCTCCTGAGAGGCCCCAGAGACAGTGCACCTAGTGGTCAGACTCTACCATGCTGGATTACAATGCTAACACATCCACAAGTGACACACTCAAGGGGGGCACTTGGTGAACATCAAAGCTCCACTGAAGTAAATCCTGCT